GGGGCAGAGTGCGGGCTGTGACAGCCGGGCAGCAGACACAAAGGTCGGTGTTGGCCCGAGCTCGAGGGCTGGCTGGGGCCGGATGCCGGGGTCGCAGCCTCCCGGGACCCCTCTGCTCATCTCTCGTCACTGGCGAAATGGCCCAGCACGTTCTGTGTCTGAGTCTGCGACTGCTCAGTGGGAAGCTGCTGCTGACCGCTGGCTCCTAGTGCGGGCTGTGACAGCCGGGCAGCAGACACAAAGGTCGGTGTTGGCCCGAGCTCGAGGGCTGGCTGGGGCCGGATGCCGGGGTCGCAGCCTCCCGGGACCCCTCTGCTCATCTCTCGTCACTGGCGAAATGGCCCAGCACGTTCTGTGTCTGAGTCTGCGACTGCTCAGTGGGAAGCTGCTGCTGACCGCTGGCTCCTGGGGCCCTGTGTGTGGCTGGGGCAGCGACAGGCTGGGGGGCTGGGGGCCAGTGTGCTCTTCCCTCAGGTCTGGATAGGCACTGGCCTCGGTTCCCACATCCTGGAGACAGGGGCCCCTTCTCAGGACGGCCGGGACCGAGGGAGGAAGGGAGGTACTGCTGAGTCGGGAGCAGTGGAGGTGAGGGCATGCGCGCACACACACAGACGCACACACACACAGACGCACGGATGCACACAGACAGATACACACAGACACACGCCGGGCGTGGTGGCGCATGCCTGTAATCCCAGCACTCGGGAGGCTGAGGCAGGAGGATCACTGTGTGTTCGAGACCAGCCTGGGCTACATAGTGAGTTCCAGGTCAGTCTCAACTACATAGTGAGACCCTGTCTAAAACAAAACAAAACAAAACAAAAAACCAGACACACGCTGGAGGGAGACGGTCCTCCTGAGACCTCCTCCTGGTGGTCAGACAGCGCCACCCAGAGGGCACCTATGGTCATTGCATGAGGCCAGCGGAGCGGGTGGGCCTTTGTTGGTGGCCAGTGCTGGGGCAGAGAAGGGGCTGCGGGAAAAGTAAGTTTAGGCCGGCTCCCCGATGTCTCCGCTAGTCCCTGTGAATGCCTGGCCAGCAGCAAAGAGATGATAAAAGCTGAGAAGATGATAGTGGAAGCAGCTCTAAAGAGGAGGAGGCACTGTCATTGTTAAAATAGTCACGGAGCCCAGGAGTTTATATTCTCTGGTGGGATTTGTTTTGTTTTTCTTTTTTTGAGTTAGGGCCTGAGTGTGTAGCTCAGGCTGGCCTCAAGTTCACAGCGATCCTCCTGCCTCAGCCTCCCAAGTGCTGGGATTAGAGGCATGCACCACACCTGGCCACCAGCCACCAAGGTTTTGTCGTTTCTTGTGACATCAGCTTCTCTGCAGGAAATTGGTGGTCACTGCCCTGTGTCCATGCTGCCCTGGGTCTGCTTCCGGGACAGGCTTCTCCAGATTTCCCCGGTGCTGCTGACCAGCGGGCAGTCCCTCCTCCCTTCTGCCACACATCCTGAGGTGTGAGGCTGAAGTAACAGCGCCCCTGGCCCACTCCCCGCGTCTGTGGGCCCTGCTCACCTCTCAAAACTGCAAGTGAAGTCTGTCTTCAGTACCTGACTTGTGGGATACATTTGAACCACCCAGGCAGCTCCCTCTCCTTAACTTGAAAGCTGAGGCAGCCAGGCGTTTTCCTGTCCCTGTGCCCCCAGTACAAGACAGATGCTGGGGAGTGGAGGCGCACCAGCCTGGTTCTCAGCGTCTATGTGCAATCAGGAGCGCTGGAGCAGCAGGCCGTCCCTGCCGTCTAAAACCAGGCTGGGGCCACACAAACTCTGACTGGGGCCCAAATGCACTCAGGGGCAAGAGGTGACATCGGTGAAGATCTCATTTCTCTTGCCTTCCTAAGGGAAAGAACAAAACCTGCTGTCTATATGGCTTTCTTCTTTTTTTGGGGGGTGGCAGGCAAGGTCTTGCTATGTAGATTAGGCTGGCCTCGAACTTACGGAGATCTTCCTGGCTCAGCCTCCCAAGTGCTGGGATTGCAGGTGTGCAAAACCATGCCTGGCTCTTTTTTATGCCTAATAACTTCATGAAAGCCCTAAGGTTAGGATCAAAAGAAGCCAAGAAGAGTGGAGAACTTTCTCAGGAGCTGGCAGTTTATGTCAAGTGAACACAAACCTTTATTTCTTAAATAAGTTTATTGGAGCCAAACTATTTAAATAACTTTATTTGTTTCATCCTTTGGTAGATGAGAAAAATACATTACAAAATAATCATACAGAGGGCAGCCACAGTACACATTACTAAAACACAATCTACTTCCCGCCAGGCGGGCTGGTTAGGTGCAGGGCTCCGGAGGCCTCAGCGCAGCTCGGTAGCACCAGGCAGGAGAGGATGGCAGGCACAGCAGTGCACCAGGAACTCCCCATCCACCGGAGCAGCACGGGGTGTTCTCCAAACCCCTCAGGAGAGGGAAGCGGAGGGGTGGGCGAAAGTGGGATGTGGGGACACTAGGCGGCTGCCCAGACGACGTGTTTTCTGCGACTCCCACCTGCCCTGCACCGGCCACTCTCCTCGGCTTCTTCCATCTGTGGCCGGGCTGGTGTGGAGGCGCCTGGCCCAGGGTCTGTGGGGCAGACCTCACTGTGGGGCAGTTGCGCCCCAGCTGTCTGCTTGGCTCAGCACCCTCCAGCCGTGCCCAGCCTGGGGCAGCTCACGGTGCGGAAGGGCCACCGCTGCCAGGAGCACCCAGTGTGACGGCCTCGGAGAACCCAGGGTCCAAGCCAAGCAACCTCAGAGCTGCACCCATTTTCTCACACAAATGGGGCCACAGGAGGAAGGTGACCAGCTAAGGGCCTGGCCGGCCTAGGTCCGGACGCAGCAGACTTGGGCTGTCAGAGGACCACGCCCGCTCACCGGTGTCAAAGGACTTCCACGAAGCAGCCTCTTGAGCCTCCGTATTTTCTTTTTCTTAGAAATCTGAAAACAGTCTGCAACTAGAAGTGAAAAGTAGTCCCAAGAATCAAAACCACCACTCCAGCCGACTGCACTGTCACGCAGCAGGCCGGGTCGGGGCTCCACGGGCAGGTGCTGGCTGCTCCAGGGCACGCAGGGGCCGGGCGGCCTAGGCCGGCGCTTTTGCTCGCCTTCTCCGTTCTCAGAGCACCAAGCCAGGACCGGGCCGCCCGGCTTCCAGCTGTCAGGGGAGGGGTGGGTGGGACGTGGGAATAAAAATAAAGATGAGTCAAGACCAGCACCTTCAAATTAACAAACTGTAATTGTTTTCCCAAAGATACATTTTTTTCATACACATCCATCATACACTGTAACCAAAAAAAGCAGTGTACATGAAATAGGAGAAAATAAATTAAAAATCCATAGCATAGGTAAGGAGGCTCTGGTCTGGAGCACGGCTGCGTTTCCAGCATAGGAGGAGGCTTGAGTTTCTTCGTAAGAATGCCTGCTAGCAAGGGTCCAGCTCGTGGTTGGTCTGTAGTCAGTCTGGAGAACTCGAGACAGTTTGTGTGTTTTATTTTTTTTCCTTAGCGTTTAGAATAGCCATCACTGTCCTGCAATAGGCAGAGCTATCACGTCCAGGAAAAATGAGGGAGGGAACCACAGAGGCAGCGTGAGATCCAAATACAGCATTCAAAGGTGATTGGTCCAGTGGTGCCGGGGTGAAGGGCGCTCCGGCCTAACCGTCTTCCTTCGGGGGTGTGTACCAGCCTGCGGGGACACAGCAGCATGAGCGGCGCTTTCCGGCCCACCCCACGGACCTCTCCAGGGCCACAGCAAGACCCCAGGAGGCCACCTGGTGAGGGCGGGGAGCTTGCAGGCTGTGAGGAAAGGGAGGAGCTGGGCAGTGCGGGGAATGGACAGTGACGCTCTGGGACCAGGGGCGCCCGTCACCCGGCTGGAGTGACCCCCGGGACCCGGGAGAGCTCAACTCTTCTGGGGCCCAGCCCTGGCCTCACCGTTTTTTTCGTGGATCTGCACCAATGACTTATAGGACTGCTGTGCTCTCGTTAGACTGTACTGTGACTAGGGAGAGAAGTCCCGGATGAGAGAAGTCCCAAGGCCGAGGGTGCCCCTGGGGTGCGCGAGGCCTCTCCTCCAGCACCAGCAGCCCAGGGACCTCGTCCTCTTGCTTCCCCCGGGGCAGCCTTGGGCCCACTAGTGGCCCAGGCTCCTTACTTTGTTGGCTCCAAACTGCACTCGTGCTTTCCCCTTCACCAGCGTGGCACTGATCTGCATGATCACGGACTCTATGGAGTAGGCACTGCTCCAGCCCTGAGGGACGGGAGGGACAGAGCCAACAGTCGGGACAGCTTCCGAGAAGCCCTCCGTTCGTCCTCCAGGCTGGTGGGGCCTCTGTGGAAGGCCCTTGCCCTGCCCCACCTGTCTGCCTGACAAATGGAAAGAGCCACACCGTGCGTGCCTGGGGTCCAACACGGGGAGCTCAGCCAGCACCCCCCGGCTGCCAGTCCAGCGGCAGGACACAGGCTCACCTGCTTGGTGAGAAGCTCCATGCAGATGGCACCTCCGCCCAGAACGTATCTGCGCCAGAAAGGACAGTGAGTGGAGCCAGAGACGCTTCCTCACCCCACCCCCCTCAGGAGCCACCCTCTTCCCCTGGCCCAGCCACTCACCCTCCGGAGAGGACTGGAGACACAACCCTGACAAACGGTGGGTCAAAGGGAAAGTTATCCTGGAGACAGGAAGGGAAAGGCACAGTCAGGGAAGGAGACAGAGTCCGCACAGCGTTTCAGGCAGACAAGGACACCCAGGGCAGGGAGGGAGGGCCAGGAAGACAGAGGCTTACTTTAAAAGAGAAGTTAAGCAGGATGAAGTCGGCTCCTTCCTTCTCTTTGAGGATCTGGAGGTCATTGTGCAAAGCGCTGTCCTGGTCAACTCTGAGTAACAAGCCTGAGCTCAGGCTCCGGTCCTGACTCGGGAGCCTCCTGAGGGTACCTGCGCCCCTGGCCGGCAGCAGCCAGCCACACCTCACCCCCATCCCGGGACCCAGCAGCCACAGGCTGGACGGGGATGCCCCGGAGGTCCCCCACTCACTTGAGGAGTTTGACATTCCAATCATACAGACTGTCATTCACAAGTTCAACTGCATAGTTTCCTGGAAGGAGGAAAGCTCAGCTAGGACGGTCTAAGTGGCGAGTGGTACCCATGCAGACCCCACTCCCAAAGGAAAGAGAGGACCAAAGACCTGACAGGTGCCCCAGGTGGACCGCATCCCAACCCAAGCCACTGGCCTGGGGAGCCCCACACCTGGCCTGCGATATTCTTGGGTATCTGTGTCCCAGAATCCCTTGTTCTTGCCACCATGACATCACATCCTTTACAGCAAACTCCCACCCAGGCCCCTCTAGGCAAACTCACCGCCTTTGAAACTCTGTGATCGGTATATATCCCTGAGCTCCTTCATCAGCCGGTCAGTGGCCTGCACCGAGCCAGACACTGCACCCTGCAGGGGGAGGAGACGTCTCTCAGCTGTGCCTTTGGAAACCCACCCACCCACTGGATGGCAGGGGCAGTCAGCAGCTTGCCTAGAACCCAGAGTGGGGCCGGACACACCCACGCTGAGCCGGCTCCCTAGCTGACGAAGGGTGGGCGGACACCACTTCCCGACCAGGGGCCCCATCCCCTGCCCAGTGCTCGCTACAAGGCACGTACATTTAAGTAATCTTGCCTCTGGTTCTTTTTAATTTTCTCAAGGATGGCCAAGTTTTCTTTCCCGATGCCATCATCTTCAGATTTCTTGCCCTCAGCTGGTTCCTCCTCTTTCATTTCATAGTGGTCCAGGTCTTCTGTGTCCTATGGCAAGCGTGGGTGGGAGAGAACAGAGTACAGCTTGTGGGAAGGGCTGCCACCTCCCCAGCCCCATCCGGCCTGGGGCCATCTCAGCAGCAGGATACCCGTCCCGCCCCCCACAATCTCAAGAGCAGAGATCTCAGGCCAGGCAGCAAGGTTCCAGTCAGGACCTGCAGAAGGATGCAGCCTCATCTCCCCAGGGCGACCCCACCCCAGCTGTCTTTAAAACTCTCCTTGGGAGCAGAAACTCATCCGTTATTCCCAGAACGACTCTGCTGACACTGCGACTGAAAGCTCAGGTTTCCCCAGGTGAAATCAATGCAGATTGTAAACCACCCCTATCAACACCAGGCCTGAATCAGAGGTGCCCCACCCACACGAAAATGAGGAGTCGAGCAGGAAATGGCAGGTCAAGAACAGAATGAGTTTTCTTTCTGTGGTAATGGGGTGACCCATGGCCTTGCACACACTAGGCAAGCAGCAAGCACTCTACTACGGACTGGGGAGCTGTCTCCCCAGCACAGAACAAGCCCTCTCCTAACCCTGCTTTAACTGCGCATGTTCACTGTGCAGGGGAAGACCACATCCAGGGCCAGCCCCTCATCAGATGCTGGGTACGGGGAAGGGCTGTCCCCATTGTGGAATGTGTCTCCTGCACCGCCAGCCTTCCGTAGGTCTTGAAAGCCTCACAGAGCCCGGGACAACCGCTCAGTGCTGAGAAACAAAGTGATCAGAGTGATCCTCGCTCTGGCAGGACAAGGTGACCTCCTAGTTATTACATCAGCAGCTATTATCAGCCAAACGCTTATCTCGCCAGTGTCCGTACTAGACGCTACACACGGGCTCACTCTGTTCTTCAAGCCGCTGTACCGTTATTCTGTTATCTCCATGACAGCGGAGGAAGCTAAGGTCTGGGGGTCAGCTGTCACTCCCAAAGTCGGAGCTCTCTGTGGCTGAGACTTAAATCCAGCTGCCTGGACCCGAAGCCCAGATTCTTTACCACTACATTACACCTACAAGAGCACATTTTCAACTAGCATATTAGGTAAACCACTCAGCAGCCCTAATGTATATGTGTTTTACGTACTATACCTCACTTAACGTTTAAGACAAACAAATCTGGTTTGAGTTACAACGCCATCTTACAGAAAACTGCAGCTTAGACAAAACTCCCCAGTTAAGGTGACCGGGATGTAAACTCAGGTCAGCTGAACTCTAAAGCTGTCTGAAGTTAATTTGTCAAACCTTTATTCAGCTTGAGCAGATCGGTACTATTTTCAGGGTGGGTGTGGGTTTCCTGTCTCCTCCTCCAGGTCAGTACATCTGTCTGTTCCCCTCACGTCTTTCCCTGCCAGTTCTAGGGTGCAGTTATTTAGAGCGGGCCCTCAATGCTGCTGATGGCCAGAGCGTCCTGCCAACGCCCCGTGGGAGCCTACCTCAGGCATCTCCTCATCTTCATCTTCCGAAGACACCTCCTCCTGTGTGCACTGCAAGGGAGGAGATGGCGGTCAGAGGCCCCGTGGCCACTGCAGGCGCCTCTCACCTGCTCCCGAGCCTCCAGGTCTGGAAGCTGGGCTCTGCCCGCCATGCTGCCATCTCCCCCCGCTGGCCCGCGTCAAGTGGAAGCAGGAGCCCAGGGAACAACTGCCCCACCAGCCATCATTCACCTCCTACCCTGTGCCAAAGAGCAAGAGGGGAAAACAGCTGCTCCAGTTACTACCTCGAAAGGTCCTGCTTAACTCTCCCAAGAAGCCCCTCACGGCCTTCTCCAGACTGACACACACTCTTGGTGCTCAACAAGGGACCCGAGCCCCACCCACTGCCACTGCCACCATAACGGCAACCTGAGGGACACCACCCGAGTGGGCTTGTCAGCTCCGTGCAGCTGGGTTCCCATCTGGGGAAGAGCAGCTGGGGTTGCCCACGGGTGTCTGAGCAAGTGGGGTGGGGAGCAGCCACTGGAGATCTGTCTTGATAAACAAGCACTTATCAGCGCTCTGCACACAGGCCCAAGCCCCACGGCGCTCACCTGCTCCGCTGGCAAGGGCTGATCCAGCATCTCCACATCCGGATGCTGAGGGAGGTTGTAGAGTTTACACAGGTCAGAGATGATCCTCTTTAGGTGCTGCAAAAGCTGGGGAAGGGACCACACGTGTCAGATTCTCCTGCCCCACCCCAATCCTGCTAGCTGCAAGGACGAGCTCTTGGCTCAGTTCTGGAGTTGGTCCCTAGTTCTCTAGACCGGACGGGCCAGAAATGCGCCCCTTGGAGTACCCGTCCTGGGCCACTACAGGGATCCGCCTGGGCTTCGGTAAGCAACTCCCCACTGGCCTTGCAGGACCACCAACTTTCCAGACAGCTCCCTTTAACACGGTGCCCGTGACAGGGCCTCACAGGAACATGTGTGCTCCTACCCCGTGATCCCCTCACCAGAGTGTTCCCTTTCTTTATGTCCACCAGCCTCTCCAAGACAGCAGCCAGGTTAGGGTCATCAGACTCCACTGACCAGATGGGGGGCACGGCAGGGTATGACTCCTGAGAAAGAAGCGCAGGAACAGCAGTCACAGTGGGGTCCTTGGGAAAAGCAGAAGTTTGCCTACCCTCTGCTTGCCCACCCACCCCAAGCTCTACACCCTCGTAGAGGCCCAGTTTAGCAGGTCAGTGTCTAATCACGCAGCTTCCCAACCAATCCTAGACTGGGAGAGACCCAGTCCCTGGAAAGACCTTTTCCAGGAAACAACCTGTAAGTTTATTTCCTCCAGAGTGAAGACCAGGGGAGGGGGGACCCCTCATCTACTGTACAGCCTCTACAAGTTCCAGACTTGAAGTTCTCCCTGCATCCACCTCAGGGGCCTCTAATCCTCCTGCTTTCCAAACTCCAGAGGGGAGGAGAGAATTACATGGGTGGGGAAAGGAGAAAAAAAAAAAAAAAAAAAAAAAAAAAA